GTGGCGCAGTGGTTAAGAATCTGCCTGCCAATGCAGGGGACACGGGTTCAAGCCCTGGTCCGGGAAGATCCCACATGCAGCAGAGCAACTAAGCCCACGCGCCACAACTACTGAGGCTGCGCTCTAGAGCCCGCGAGCCACAACTACTGAGCTCACGTGCTACAATCACTGAAGCCCGTGTGCCTAGGGCCTGTGCTCCGCAACAAGGGAAGCCACCACAATGAGAAGCCTGTGCACCTCAACGAAGATTAGCTCCCACTCACCGCAACTAGAGAAAGCCCGCGCGCAGCAACGAAGACCCAACGCAGCCAAAAATAAATAAATAAATAAACAAACAAAAACAAAAAACAAAACAGGATTGTCCTGGGTCAATCTTATGATCAAAAGTGTCAAGTGCATTCAAAATGAAACTGAAGCTAGTATATTCACTTCCTTAAACATGGACTGAGAAGCATTCCTTTGGCATGGATTTTGTTTTGGATTTTGATCTAGGAATCAGTTTCCTGTTGATTACAGCATGCAAAACATGCCCATATTTTATACAGACGTATGTTCCAGAACTGATTCCGTTAACGCAATGGTTTTCGAATCTCATTTTGTCTCCCACCTGCGCCCCCGACTCCCATGCCCGGAGATATTTGGCAATGTCTGGAGTCACCTTTGATTGTCGCAATTTGGAAGGGATGCTACTAGTATCTGGTGGGTAGAGGCCAGGGAGGCTGCCAAACATCCTAGAATACACAGGACAGGCCCCACAGCAAAGAATGAGCTCACCCAAAATGTCAACAGTGCTGAGGCCAAGGAGCTCTGAGTGGAGATGACACTCTGTAGATACCTTGGTGCACAGAACTAGGCCCTCTTTGTCTGTGTGGTGCTCTCCATGATGTATGAAAACAAAGCAGAAAAGAATACATTAAAAAGCAATAAGAAGGCTGTGGTTCCTCCCCTGCCTGTGATTTAGAAATTAAGATGCACAGCCTGTCTCTAAAGTAGAATTATTCAGTTTGGGGAGGCTTCCTAGGTAGATCCCAGTCTTGAATCAATGAATCTCCTATGGAAATATCATAATACAAGGCATTTCGTGTGGAACTGAATAGACTCTTGAGTGTGAAAAGGAGTTTTGGTGAATTCAAAACCATATTTGTTTTTCACATTGAAACCGTTCAGGTCATTTTCTTTTTCTAAGAGTATAACCATTTGGACAAAAATATCCATTTGATATGCAGGTGAAATGTAAATTGCTACTCTTCTACACAGACAATCCAGTGTATTTATACTTAATCCATAAAGGCATGATGTTACAAAACACATTTGTATATTGTGAAGCCATCTGGCATCAAATTTTCCAATTTATAGACAACTTTGTATTTACATAACAAATTATTAAATCAACCATTTTTCCGGTTTATAAAAGGTCACTGAGGTACACACACAGTGTGTATAAAAGCAGATAAGGCTGATAATACATATTTACAGTAGATACAAATTAATCTTTCATATTTGAAGATAATGTTTTTTATATATTTTTTCTATATCAGACTGCCCACTGTTAGCAGGATTTCCCATGCTTGAGTTGTTTATTGCTTTTTGGCTCACTGATTTAATATTCACTTCTGGGTTGTTTACACATATGAATTACTAATGTTCTTATCTCTTTGGCTAATGCAAATGTGATAGAGTGAATGAAAGAAAAAGATAAACAATAATTCAGTATTACAGTTCTGGTTGGTTGATAGTATTTGTTCATAGTCCCCGAATGAGTCAAGTAATGCATAACTCATTTTATACACTACATGGAAAAGTCTTGAGTCTTGCATTACATCATTTGGGCATAAATGGGCAAAGTAAACAAGATACCAGATTTTCAGTAAGGTCTAGAATCTTGGCTTTCTTTTCAGAAAGAGCAATGTCACCAGCATCTTAAACATCTTAGATTTTAAAATCTCAATGCGAAACCACTTGTGACTTACAAGGGAACTTTGCAAACTGCATGGAAGATTACCAAAGTTAACTACAATATGTTATCATGGTCTGAAATGAAAAAAAGAATCACCTCATGGGATAAGTCAGCTGAAAATCTTCATAAAACTTACAGAAAGTAGAACAACCACCCTCCACTCCTCCCAAAATTCTGCAGTGTTAACATTCAAAAAAGAAGCTTGTGTTTACTTAAAAAACAGACATAGCAAATAACTCAAAGTCAGGGTTCAAATAAAAGACTAAAAGTGGCCCACGATATCACAAGGGATGAATATTCTTCTCAAAGAATTTACATGCACAATAGGACTAAAAAGTACAAACCAAAAATGTTCCTTAAATAAATAAAAACCCTGATTGCTTTTAACGCTACAAACAAGACAGATTAAATAAGTGCTGCTCAGTTAGATTTCACTCATTTGAAATAATCTTAAAAAAACACTTAAAGGTATAATTTATTCTCCTTGTGCTTCCTAAGACTTCTAAAGGGCACAAAATAAAATTAGGGACTATGCAGTTCTTTAAAGGAGCAAAATTTTTTCATTCTGCTTCCATTCTCAGATTGTTGAAAAAAAAAGTTTATTTTAGGGAATAAAAAAATGTACTAATGTAGAAGGGCTAGCCTTCATTTTAAAAAAATGAACTGGCTTTTAGTACAAAGAGAACGAAATGGCTCTGTGGGCAAAATTCAAGTACGAATGACCAATTTTTTAAATTGTAAAGTAGGTGTAACATTTAAAAAACTGTTACAGCACTGCATGTAATGCTAACAATATTTACATTAACTGCTTACATGAAACCATAGAACTGTAGAAGAGAGAAAAAAAGAAAAAAATCTGGGTTTCCCTGGTGGCGCAGTGGTTGAGAGTCCGCCTGCCGATGCAGGGGACGCGGGTTCGTGCCCCGGTCCGGGAAGATCCCACATGCCGCGGAGCGGCTGGGCCCATGAGCCATGGCCGCTGAGCCTGCGCATCCGGAGTCTGTGCTCCGCAACGGGAGAGGCCACAACAGTGAGAGGCCCGCGTACCGCAAAAAAAAAAACAGAAAAAGGAAAAGAAAAAAAACCAAACCTGTGTGGACTGAAACAATACCTAGCACCCACATGAAGCCATAAGCAACCAGTGAAATCATGGGCACAAACATACTTTACATGGTCTACTGATGTAAAGTATACACGGGTCAGGGATGCAGAAACCTAATTAGTTTAAAATATCAAAAAGAAGTCTTGGCAGACATAAACTCAGTCTGAAGACAAAAAAGCAAAGGCTAAAAAAGCTTCTACATATCAACACACACAAAAACCCACATACACGCAGACACACCCAATACGCAAACACACATACGCTGTGAATCTGTAAATAAAGACAACCGTGTAGACAAAACAGTAGAAAAGCAGACAGGTACAAAAAAAAGGACAACATTAATGGTTTAAACATACCAAATACATCAACTTATAACAAAAATAGTCAACTAAAGTACACAAGGTTACTTCAGGTGACTGCAGGAAGGACCAGGCAGGCAATCCGGCCATGACAGGAAAGACAAACTCAACCTACCCCCAGAAGGAAGGGTTCCTGCCTCCAGGCCATGAAGCCCAGTGTAGCCAGTTGCACTCCATCAGGCTTGTGGGTAGGGGTGAGAGTGGGAATGGAAAGGACAGAGAGACACAGGAGACCTGGGAGAAGAACTAAGCTGTTGATATCAAAAGTGAGCCCAGGTGCAGCGCTCTGTGCTGTGGCCCCGAGAAACCAAACAGAGGAATGACCTTGGTCTCCTTTTTCCTGAGTGACTGGAACTCTGCTACATCATGGGACTGAGGAGCTGGAGGGGTGGATGAGAGAAGAGAAGCGACGTGGTGGGCATTTAACGGGTTCAGAGCCTGCCATTGGAGGGCCTCCCAGAAGCCGAAGCAGTAGGCTGTGGAGGGAATCCCAGGCGAGGGGAAGAGGCAGTGCTCTCCCGAGGGTTAAGGGTTTGGAGGTGGGGTTGGTGGCTCTAAGAATAAAGAGATAAGGGATCCCTTCCTTTGACAACCCATCAATTGAATCCAATCCAATCAATTTCAGGCTGAAGGCCTGAAACTTGGCTCAATTGCCTGGGAGATAGGGTTATACCACCACCACAAAAACTGTGAAAAAAAGATATTTATGTTGTGCTACATTTCTTATTAATAACCTTGTACTTTACAATGGCTCACAGTTTTAGGTTTGTATACTTGCAGTGTAGTATTTTCTCTCTACATTTGTTTCACATTTTTTTACTTAATATAATATAAATAATTTGGTTAATAGATTCAACCTGCACATTTCAGCCACATTAATATATATAAGAATCTATTAATGGTATAAATAATTCTTTAAATAAAATAAATCTGATATGTTACATAATACTGATAAAAAATTACCATTGCTAATAATTTCATAAGCCACCTTAACTTCTGGTGTAAGTAATACTGATGAATGGATGTGAAACTTGCTTTGATGATTTGTACTTATTTTTGCTGCTATAGAAAAACTGAATTATAATCAACCTTACCTCTGATAATGGTTTCAAAGTGGGGCTTTGCCTCCATGTACGGAAACAGAAAGTTTTATCTTGTCAGGTATTGTTTGCAAAAAAACCTCAACTCTGAGCGTCAGTGGTGGTGCAGCATAAGCTTTCTAGTTCAAGAGGTGGCTATCAAATGTTAACTACAGAAATGATTGAGTAAAATATCCCATCTAAGATTTTTTTTTATAAAACCTACTCTACTTTAAAACTTAGGTAAAAAAAATATGCAACAAATGGTTGCAGTTTCTGAATTCTTAATTTAGACCTGTGAGCCCTTGTCCCTTTAGAAATCTGCAAGGTTTCGATTTCCTAGACACCCGAAATCAAGTCCAGTGCTTCCAGGCAAGGTTCATTCCAAACAGACAATATAAATGGACACTCAGTGGTGTGCAGTGTATGTCATAATTCAGTTAATACATTATCATGCCTTTTCTCTGCTGTTAAATACAAAAACAGCATCTCTTACATTATCATAGAAAAGCATTTAGGTTGTATTTTTATTTATCACTTTACACTTGTAGTCTCTGGTAGGTGTACTCCATAGAAACCAAAGAATTTTGTACACTATTTCTTTGTACAATAAAAGATAAAGTGTGCATTAGGTATGCTTGTACATGACAATATTGTACAATATTTACATTTTTGATATCACCATGAAATTCTGCATTTTCTATATACAACATGGAAAATTCTTCAGAAACATTTGGACTATTTCTTATAATCACAATTTTAGTATTATAGAAAAAGAGTTTCTCAGTAATCTCTTGACCATCACTCTCATCATTCAGGGATTCTGATTGGTTTTCCAGCATTCATTATCCTTCCTGATCCAAAAAAAAAAAAAAAATATTGTATCGCTGTTTCTTTTAGCACCCTGTGGCGGTGTTAACCATCTGCCATAGTATAAATATTGATATAACAGTGGCTATATCAATACTTATATACAGCTCTATCTGTGCACATTCCTTTAATAAACACTGCGCATTGGTGGAGTAGTCCCTGTTATCTGGAGATCTTCCTCCTCTTGGGTTTGGGGGGTCTCATTTGTCTGTCTCCCTGTGGGATTTGGTGAACCTGGAAATAAAAGAGATGGGGAAAAGAAACAACAACAACAGAGATTGAAATCACAAACACCATACGATTTCCGACAAAGAAACAGGGTAGGGAACAGACTCTGGCCCTCATTTTCTATCATTGCTATCCTGAGGCATTTAAAGTTTTTACCAAGGCCCAGATCACAGCGTGCCCACAGTCACTACAGAGGATGAGAAATCTTGGAAACTAACAAGCAGAGCAACACTCTGTGGACCCACCCCCCCAACTAGTGGAATACAGAGGAGGAACTGGAAAAAAAAATCAATGTGGGAAATGGGACTTGCAGTTGCTACCCCCGTTGTCCATTTAAGACAAAAATAAGACGTTTCCCATCAGAGATTCCCTGAATTCCCTAATTTCACTGAAGTCTGGAAAAGTGGATAAATATATACTAAACATATTTTCTTCTTTATTTCATCACTGTACTTATTTTATAACTGCTAAGAAGGGTCAAAGATAATACAAACATGCTCACAACTCAGCCCAAGGAGGTTTACTTAGGAGAAGAATCGGATGGAAAACAGAATACCACTACCATCTGTTGGCAAATCTAAGCTTGTGTAGCCTGGGAAGAGCAATTCATACAACTCATCTCTATATACAAATGCGGAAACTAGCCGCATTTAGGGCTGTGCGTCAGATCGAATGTGGTAGAGCAGCAGCAGCACTTGGTTCCCAGGTATCAGACAGCATGTATGGTTTTGAGGGGCAGAGGACAAGCGCAAGGGAGGTGATGAGGTGCCCCACGTTGTATTGTGGCTGTTGTGATACAGATAGGAGGAGGCAAGGTCAGGACCCAGGAAAGGCAGGATGCGCCCAAGGCAATGGTGTAGTAAATGCTTAACAATCAGCTCCCTGTGGAGGGACACAAGCCCACTGTAGCCTATGCCAATCTCTGTGGTATAATACATGTTTTCACCACAGCCAATTTCAGGCTACCAATGGGATGCCACAGAACTCAGACTTAGGAAGGGATGTGCGGAATCAGCTCTCAAGATCCACTACAAGTTGGCTCAAATGCATGTTTTAAAGGTAATGTTTAGATAAAAGCAAAGGCCAGTGCTATTCAGAGTCAAATACAGAAAACTTTAAAAAATAACACCTATGAGCTTCTCACACTGCTTCATCCTCCTAACCCCTCCACATACATTCTTTAAAACCACTAGCCTCTGATAAAGAGCCAACTGAAACCTTTTTAAAATTGAGGAAAGAAGCCTTTATTCAAGACTGCAAACTAGTAACCTGTGGATCAAATGTGGCCTGGAAAGGGATTTTATTTAGCTATATGGTGTTTTAATATTTCAAAAATAGTTGGCAACACTAAAAAATGAGAAATTTTACTTCTAGACTTGTAGCATCTCATGAAAAATGGGAAGATCTTGCAACACTGACACAATTCCTCACATGGCTCAGGTGTGCTGCAGCATGGAAGCAGGAGCTCCTTCTGGACAGAGCACAGCCCCCAAGTTGCCAGGGTCCCCAGCACTGCTGACTGCCTGCTGGCCACAAAGGCCAAATGTCCTGAGACAGAGACTAGCGAGATATTGCCAAACCCATTTCTCTTCTTCCTGAGCAGGCACGGTGTATAGTACATTTAGTAGTCCCCTTGAATTAAAAAGGCCACATGATGGCCTTTGGGTGAGGCCAGTGGAAAGTTAGCACAAGTGATGAGCTTTCGGGTCTGGCCCATAAAACCTATCCTGGTGTCCTCTGTGTACACAGTCTTCTCTCCCCTGCTGGGCTGGATGCAAAGGATGTAATGGAGCACTCTGAGGCCCTAGGGAAGGGTGGACACTAGAAACAGAAAGAATCTGAGCCCCTGAATGATGGTGTGGAGCAAGCCCTTCCTCAACCAGGAGGCCCAAGTGAGGAACCATCTTTATGGCGCTGAGCCTCTAAGACTGAGACTTGGTACACAGCTTACCTTGACCAGTGCATCTTGGTTGGCATTTCTTAATCCACTGAAATTGCTCTTTTACTCATACCTGACCCCTTTTACTTAATGATATTATTTGCCTGGCCCTAGAAGGCGTTTGAGTTTATAATCTCCGCTCCAGAATTTTCCTGTAATTCTACCAGGAAAGTTAACATCTCAGGGCCTCAGTTTACCCACTTTTGAAATGATGTGTCGGATCACAAAATCCCTAAAGTCCATACCAATCCCAACACTCTATGAACGTATAACTTATCTCTGTCATTCAATAGTCACTAGACGACCTGTTAGGATTCAGATAACCTTCTTAACACAGTGTCAAGTAAAAGTAAATTACCTTTCATTGCTGAGTAGCTTTTGATAATTCACATTTATTAGAGATTATCAAAATTGTATTTTGAGCATTTACATTAGCCAATATATAAATTAGAGAATGACGAGTAAACTTCTCACATTCAACACTATTATATGCACCATCCAAAAAAAATGTAAAGAAAAAGTAGACTCTACTTCTTTAAAACCAGTGGTTATAGTGTTAAATAATTTAACAACAGAATTTTGGGCCAAATATTTTATGTTTTTACGTAATAGTAGAAAGGAAGTGAGAGGTCTATATACTCTTGATCTTGACCCTATGTTCAGTTTCCCTTTTTGTTTTATGGGCAGAGTGAAATTTATATTACTGAATACTTAGGCAACACTAATGATCACTGCTATTCTGAAAGTCAAATGTAAAAGCCGTGATTTGAACTTCAATATTTTGCTGCTCACATTTTAAAAGAATGTTATGTGGGGAAAAAAAGGTACTTATCTCAGGAAAAAAACATAGTTAATACCACTAGGTTATTTTTTCTTAAGTTATTTTTAATCTTTTCTGATATCAGTCTTTTTCTGAGCCTAGTAATTTAGTATTGCTATGTGAGTGGCTTGACAGTACTTAAGGGACTTTACCAAAAAGTATAATACAACTTATTCCCAAAGAAACACAATATAATGGAAAAATAAATTAACTTACAGTCCCAGACATTTTGTCCAGTTCACTCATGGCCTCATGAATAGCAGCTTCTAAATGGTTATTTAGCTTTCCACTTCTGGAATTAATGAAAACAACACACCAGATTAATAAATTAAAGAAACAAAATCTCAATGTAATTCCCTAATCAGAGAACAGAAGTACCCATTCCACAAGAGAAAGTCAATTTATATTTACATTTGACAATTCAGATGACAAAACACTCTGGGATTCTCACAACTGAATACTAATGATAGTCACATAACTACAGAAGAAAAATTGAACACATGATTGGGGAAAATGGATTCTTTCCCCTTCCACATGTTTCTTCTATAGTCTGATGATTTTGCAAGAAAGCTGGGCCACAGGTCTCTTTTCCCACAGATGTAGCTTGTCCTCTTAGAGTCCAGCCTGCTTTGCATTGCCTTTTGTTCTGGTTTGTCTCTTTTGCAGGCGGTCCGGCTGTGTGGCCAGAGGAAGGGCTCTGAACTTCAGGATCTGGCCACTAGGGAGCTCCCTCTACCCTCTCTGGAGCTCCTGGCTTCAGGAGTTGAACTAGTGAAGGCTGAAATCCTGGTACACATTTGTTCCAGGTGGGAAACAGTTCAACTCGCTACACCTGAGGCTCTGCCACATTCCCCCCCCCCACCACAAACCAAAATGACATAACTATTTGAGCAAATAAAGAATGATGGGCTCAGAGTGTCTATCACTCGTCTGACCTTTTCTCTGCACTCAGCATACCATCACATGTACTATAACACATGGAACATCTGCCATGATTGAAAGTTTTATCTAGGAAGCTGTTGAACTAATTACTAAAATCAGGCAAATCTACACTATCCATGTCTATAGTTAGGTACACTCTAATTTTTCCTTCTTCATGCATATAAAGAATTACCCAGTTATTGTGAGTACTAAGGTGATTCATTTCATTTATCTTGTCACGACAATTACCAGAAAAGCTGCAGAGGTAAACCTTTTCAAAATAGGCTGTTAGCATAGCTTTCCAAGAATTAAGTCCTATCCCAGCATCTACATGGAGACTGGAAATTTGCAGTTGTAGAAGACTTTGGCTCACAGACCCATTTGGTTTGGCTCACATCATGTTTAGAAACATATTTGAGCTTTAGTGGAATGCTTTTATTATTTATTTATTTAAAATATTTATTTATTTATTTATTTTGTTTTTATACATTTATTTATTTTACTTATTTATTTTTGGCTGTGTTGGGTCTTCATTGCTGCACGCAGGCTTTCTCTAGTTGCAGTTAGCCCTTTGTTGCAGTGCGTGGGCTTCTCATTGTGGTGGCTTCTCTTGCTGTGGAGCACAGGCTCTAGGCGCGCAGGCTTCAGTAGTTGTGGTGCACGGGCTTAGCTGCTCCGTGGCATGTGGGATCTTCCCAGACCAGGGCTTGAACCCATGTCCCCTGCATTGGCAAGTGGATTCTCGACCACTGCACCACCAGAGAAGCCCTAGTGAAATGCTTTCAGATGAGGCCTTTTGGTTTACCACAGCCCTCACCAAGTTTTACCCTCATATACCAGGACTGAAAAATTCATACATTTAGTTTCTGTATGTAATCCTGAGTAGTATACTGCTAGGTACCTTGTGGATGCTCCATGTACTTACTAAATAAAAATATTTGTCTAAAGCTGAAACAACGGCTCCATATTTTGGGAAATATATATGCACTTAAGTCAGTTTAACTGAAAGGAAAGATTAATGTAGTGGTTGTAACTAAATTATAAGGGCAATGCAGCACCAACCTCTTCCCCCACCTTTTATTGGCCTGTAAGCTAACCTCTAGCTTTTATATTCTTCCCATTTACTTTCAGAAATGTAAACAATGCAGAAAAGTGCATAGAATAAATTAGCAATCCCTATCAAACCCATTTCCAAAAATAAACTGTTAATAAATTACATATTTCCTTTCATTCTTTTTTATAAAAAAATTAAGCTGAAGTTCCCATGTTATCAATTCCTAGTCCCATACTCTCCCACCCTCCTCCCCAAAGGCAACTAGCTGTGTTGTGTATTCTTACAGTGTGTTTTAATATTTTATATATCCATGAACAGTACCTAGTATTGTCTTTTACGTGTTTTATATATATATATATCATACAAATGGTGTCCTGATATACCTACCATTCTGCAACTTCTCTTTCCCTTTTATTGCTATTTTTGAGTACTGTCCAAGTTGATATAATCTATTCACATACTGTCTTTTATTTACCTACCTTTTCCAGTTTTAAGGGGCCCTGGGCATCTTGTGGAGTCAGTCTGAGTTGTTTTCCCAATGAGGAGTTTGCTAAGCATGATTCTGGGTGACTGGATAGGAATCCGATCCCAGGACTCTGTAGGGCAATTTAAGCTGAGCTGGGGTTGGGCTACGGCCCCTTTTGTGGACTGTTCAGCAAACGTCTTGACAGTATCACAAACTGCCCAGTTGCCTGACAATGTTACCCCTTGTGTAATGTGTTAAATAGCTTTATCCTTACTATTTCTTTTGTATGAAAGTATGAACATAAGTTTAAAAGATATTTGTTATGCATTTTTATTTACTATCTTACGGGTTTAAAATTGACTATGTAAAAGTTCTAAATATCTAAAAAGAGGTAAAATGTTTCAGTGAAAAACCATCAGAGAATCTTGGTTCTCTCACCTTTAATAACAAAAATAGCTAGTATTTATTGAAAAGTTTATATGTGCCAAGACTTGTATTAAATCTTTATATACATTATTTCATTTAATCCTTATAACAATCTGATGAAGTCGGTATTATGACAACTGTTTGTACGCAATACTTCATGACTTTTTAGGGAAAATTGGTGAAACCAACTGCAATTTTATAGCGAAGGAGATGGATATTTAACTACAAATAGTTTTCAAAAGTAATAGAGTCATAAAAATGTTTTCCCTAACTATGAAAAATTACAGTGACATCACCATTAAAGAATAAAAATAATTCAACATTATTTGTTGAATAAATAGACAAAATTTTAGGAGTTTGTGATTTCATTCTTCAACAAGATATTTAAAATGTTTATAAACACCTTGTATCAATTTAAGGTAATCAGTATGTTTTTCCTTTAACAAACTTAAGTAGTTATTAGAGGGTGAAATGACTACTTTTGGAAGAGAGAATAAATATGGAGATGTGGCGCAGGAAATTACATGAATACATCATTGGAATCAAGAGGTAAAGAGAGTTTCCCAGATGTCAAATCTGCATACTAATTTTTACACTAGCTGGTCAAGTCAGGAAAGAATGAGCTTAAAAGAGGAAGAGAAAGCTCCATGAGTCCATGAAATGAAAAATTAGTCAAAATTCAGTCTTCTAGTCCAGAGGGCCTCCTTATGGAGTCTCTTCTACTATTTTCTCTTCCCCACTGACATTTAATAATAAACATTTTTACTGATGGACACTCTAAAAGCTACTTGATTAAGCAATAGATGTTCATATAATCACATTTCTAGTTATTAATGGAGATAATTGCCACTTACCTTCACTGCCTACATTGTCACACATTACCCTTATCCTCACTAGTTAAAAAAAAAAAGCCAGGTACACATCTGTGAATGGTATGAGAAATAAGAGGGAAATGAGAAGTGCACGTTGCTCTGGACTATCAGTTCAGAATTTAAGCAACTCACTTCGTGTAGAACAGAACAAACTTGGATAAGACATAAATGTTAAGAAACTTCGATTCTAAAACCGAATCCATAGGGAAAGTATGCAGATTTAAGAAAATTCAACACATGAGAGATCAAGGTGGTGGAGTGCGAGGACACTGAACCTACCTGCACACCCCACCCCCTGCCCCAATGAATATATCAAAAATACAACTATTTGTTGAGCAACTCTCGCTGAAAATGACCTGGAGACTAGCAATAATGACTCCTCTACAACAAAGACTGTAGAGAAAGGTCCACATGGAGTCTGGTAGGAAGGGAGGAGAAGATATCTGGTCGGGAGTCGCACACAGAAGAGGAGGGGGTATCACCAGCTTGGAGATCCTCCCTGGGGAGCATGGGGTTCAAGCCACATTCAGGCACCCCAGCCCTGGGGTCCAACACTGGGAAGATGAGCCCCTGAGCTGGTTTGAAAACAAGTGCGGCTTACTGGAGGGCTGTAAGAAACCAAGACTCTGCTCTTGAAGAGTGCATGCACAGACTTGCTTACCCCCCCGC